ATTTATAAAAACAGGAAATGAAGGTACAATTTTGATTGTTAGTTTATATGTTGATGATTTAATTTTTACTAGTAATACTGAAAGTTTATTTGTTAAATTCAAGAATTCTATGAAACTTGAATTTGGTATGATTGATTTGGGCAAGATGAAATATTTTCTTGATGTGGAGGTTCCTCAAAATTCTAATGGAATTTATATTAGTCAAAAGAAATATGCAAAAGATGTTTTGGAGAGATTTGGGATGGAAAAAAGTAATAGTGTGAAAAATCTCATTGTTCTTGGCGTTAAATTAATGAAGGATGAAGAAGGAGCCAAAATAAATGCTACTGTGTATAAACAATTGGTTGGAAGTCTTATGTATTTAACTGCAACAAGGCCAGATTTGATGTATATTATATGTCTTATTAGTAGATTTATGGCAAATCCAACTCAGATACACTTATAAGCTGCAAAAAGAGTGCTTAGATGCTTGAAAGGTAAGGTGAATTTAGAAATGTTTTATCAAAAGGAAGGTAACAAAGAGTTGCTAGCATATACAGACAGTGATTATGTAGGAGATGTGGATGACAGGAAAAGTATTTCTGGTTATATGTTTTTACTTAGTTAAGGAGCTGTTTCTTGGTCTTCAAAAAAACAACTGGTGGTTACTTTATTTACTACTAAAGCAGAGTTTGTAGCAGCTATATCTTGTGCATGTCAAGGGGTATGGATGAGGAGAGTATTGGAAAAACTTGGTAATTCTCAAGGAAAATGTACTACTATGTTATATGACAACAATTCAACAGTTAAGTTATCAAAAAATCCAGTTATGTGCGGGCGCAACAAACACATTGATGTAAGGTTTTACTTTTTGTGTGATCTGACTAGAGATGGAGTTGTGAAACTGAAACATTGTGAGATACAAAAACAAATTATAGATATTATGACAAAACCACTCAACTTAGACATATTTTTGAAGTTGCATAAATTATTAGATGTGTACTACATTCAGTTTTGGGGAGTCATTGTTAAGAATGCTGACATTGTCAAAGTATTTCTATTAAATAAATCATACTATGTAGGATACATAGACTAAGTTTAAAACTGTTTTCCTATTTGTTACCACGTAAATCACGGGTTGTTAAGTTTCCTGTTCAACATCATGTAAGGTTTAAATAAACCAACTGCTACGTTGTTTTCAATAATATAAATGTGCGGCATCAAACATTTGCTGTAAGTTCTTTTATTTCAACATGATCAATAAAAATATGTCTAGCATATCATATATACTCAACATAAGGCTCAAGCCATGAATGATTCGGTGAGAACTTGCATCTCAATAAATTCAAATAATCAATATTATAATCAATAAATTTCTTAAATTAAAATATAATATGAAATAACATATAATAAATAAAGTATCAAACGATTATCTTTTATTATTATTATTATTATTATTATAATATAAAAGTGAAATGTATCGTATTTCACTATTCATGTAAACCATAATAAAATAAATATTTATTTTTATATTCTTTTAACAATCGTTCATACTGATCAAATCAAGTTTTTCTTAATTGTTTATCCAATCAAGAGTGTAGATAGAGTTTATCCAACCTTATTTGAATCACTACAAGCCCGATTGGGTAAAATAATTTTAACTAATAAAATAAATTATTGGGATGGCAGAAAACGACGACGGTTAAAAACTTAATGACCGTTGTCTCTGTCAATTGATTAATAAAAATAAAAATAGTTACAGTGAGGTATGGCGGTCGTAGCTAAGAAATAAAACACTTACTCCGCTAGAGCGCAAGTTATTCTTTTTGGCTTTCGATTCACTTAAAAAAAATATGTCATGGCTAGCAAGATCTATAGCTAATTCTCTCAAATTCGAAGACGACGATCAACAACCAGATAAGAACACCACCGCCACCACAACCTCCGCCCCAACTACCGATAATGTTAATAATAATAAAGATTTATCGAATTCGGAATCGGATCAACAACAATCCGCGACACCTCGTGGAGTCAAAGAAGACCTTACAGATCTCAAAAAAACCCTAACCCGCCAATTATGGGGTGTGGCATCTTTCCTCGCTCCTCCACCCGAATCACCGTTGACGGAGAATCGTTCTCATACTTCGGATCCGGATGGATCCTACGATGATGACGATGACGCTCCATTGATTGCCGGCATTAGGAGCGATTTTGCGGAAATTGGGGGTAGATTTAAGTCAGGGATCACCAAGCTGTCCGGTAACAAAACGGTGTCGGAGTTTACTAAGATTGCCTCCAATTTGCTGCAGCTTGGATCCGAGAGTGATGAGATTGGGGTTACTGCTTCTGCTGTGGGCGTGACTGAAGAAGTTGTGGGTTTTGCTAGAGATGTCGCCATGCATCCTGAGACTTGGCTCGACTTCCCTCTTCCTGATGCTCAAGGGTTTGAAGGTTTTTTTTTTTTTTCTTTTTAAACCAAAACAATGAACAAATATTTTGCCATCTCATAGCTCTAAACACATACAAATTATAATTTCAATCTTTAAATGGTGCATTGCTTCCTAGTCATAGCAATTCGGTGGCTGTGTTGCCTATCAGATCAATAAAGCAACCGCAGTCTAGGCTATTCATGTAAGGTAGTGTTTGGCAATGCGCCTGGGTCCCCTTTGAAAATGTTTCTCAAAATTATTTTGGATAGTTTTGATATACTGATGTTAGAACCGTCAAAAAGCTGGTGAAAAAGCATTAAATTTGATGGCTTTTCGGTCCAAATGCCTTTTGTTTTTGCAAAAATACATTTATCGCATTATTAAACACACTCTTAATGTCGTTTATATAGTCGAACCACTCGTGATTAGGTTGATTCAATTGGTCTAGTAATTACCAATCCATGAAATGTGACACTTAAAGGAGTGCTATCATCATCATCATCATGGTTTTTTTTTTTTTTTTTTTACAATTTAGTTAAAAATTGAAGTTGAAATGAATAATAAGTTACCTGTTCCTTAATCTTACGGGGTTTTTTTTCCCTTCAACTTTTCCTAGTTTGATGTGCATAAGCAACGCCAAAAACTACATGCCAATAACCCATTGAAGTGATTGCATTACTCTATTTGCGTCAGATATGCTTCTCCCACACTCTGCTTGGAAGCAATAAGTCAAGGGTATGTTTGGATCTGATTGTGAGCACGGCTGATTTTAATTGTATATTCTTTTTCAGATTTTGACATGTCAGATGCCCAACAAGAACATGCTTTAGCTGTTGAGCATCTTGCTCCCAGATTAGCTGCTCTGAGGATTGAACTTTGTCCAGGATATATGAGTGAGGGCTGCTTTTGGAAGATTTACTTTGTGCTGTTGCACCCTAGACTCAGTAAACATGATGCTGAACTATTGTCAACTCCCCAAGTATGCTTTTTTTTTTTGGGCAGGGTTGGTTGTTTCACTTTATTTATTTATTATTATTGAGAATTTCAATAGGAAATGTTGTTACACTTCATTTTGGTTCGATAGCAATACACTTGTTTCATTAATTCAATCTATATAACAGTCCTTGTATCTGCACATTATTTTTATTGACATAGAGGACTTGTGTTAGTAAGTTTACTTATTTTGAACTTATAGCATAATCCTAATCGTTCCATCATTGCAGAAGTCATTGTAAATCATATGGTTTTCTATTTTCATAAACATCTTCCTCGCTAATCTGGGCCTAAGTTCTTTATGTATGCATTGCAAAGATGATGAACAGTTCTGCGAAAGAAGCTTTTGATGGTATGATAATTTTGATCCTTGGTCTCTGATACAATAGCTAATGTAAGAAATTGTGATTCGATATGTGTCGCAAAATTTACCAGAATATCATTAGTAGATGTTTTGGACTTGATGATAGTGTCCAGCTTGTTTTTCTATTTGGTCTGAGCCTTTTTTCTTGCCTCAGTATATGACCATTGCTCAACAGAAACTTGAAAGGCAGTTTAGAACCAGGAAATTGATGATAGTGTCCAGCTTGTTTTTCTATTTGGATCAATCTTGACTTCTATATAAGTACTTTTGTTGATGTTAGAACCAGGAAACTGACTCTCTACTATTTAATTTTGGCAGTTATTGGTTATTGTCATTAGTTGATTTCACTTCCATGTGATTTTAACACATTGTGTTCCTTTATTGTGTTGTGAGCAATTAACTTGATTATCTGCATCGCTAACTGCTTATGTATGCTTGCAGATAGTGGAGGCAAGAGCGATGTTGTCGCATGAGTTACAGAACAAAGCCAAGGCAAAATCCACTCCAGATTGGTCTGGAGTTGACACTTCTAATGTAAAAGCTGATTTGCTACATGAAGAGTCTCTGTCTGTGCCATCTTGTGCCAAGTCTGAATCGGTTCCAATCATGACATCTGGCATTGAAGCAGTCTCTCCCACACTTGCAGCCAAGACATCTGATAATGAAGCAGCCCCTTCCTTTGTTTCTGCTGAATCGGAAACAGAAAAGCATCCAGTTGAAAGTACTCAGATGCAAATTATTGACAAATCCGTGGTAGAGGAAGGAAAAGTTGACCAGACCAAGCATCAACATTCATCATCTAGTTCCTCCTCTGGGATTCTGGAAGAGAAAATTGACGATGATGGTGATGATTGGTTGAAAGATGATAGTTCAGAAATGATTGGTGTCAGTGGATCCTCTATGCCTCTTGGAAATGAAGAGGATGTCTCATTCAGTGATCTTGAAGAGGATGATGGAGATGAACCTGCAAGTTACAAGAAAGTGGCATCAGGCTCTGATTGTGCAACAAAAGGATCACAAGATTGGGTTCAGCTGAGCAGAAGCTCTGCTGACTCAGTCAAGGATATCAAGCACGTTAGCATAAAAAATGCTGGGTCTGAGAAGGTAAGTGCTCGCAACTCTGAAAACAAGGAATCTAGTGATTGGCTTGATGTTGATGACATTGATGTGATGTGATTTTGCCTTTAAAGCTTTCATGTCGCATGTTGTTCTTCTTATCTTTTTTTTTTTTTTTAATTTCCTTATTGTGAATATCTTGCATGTGGTTTCTTCAGACCGAGTTGGGCTGTGTAACTTTATATTCCAATGTAAATAATTCCAATGTAAATTGGATTATCATATTTGCATGAAATATGTATTTATGTAATAATTTAACACATTCCGATGCAACACGCGATCTTGCTTTGATGTGGAGATAGATGAGGTTGGCAATGTGGTAGCTGAATTCATAACTGTTACTCTGAATAGTAAATTGCATCAAGATAACAGAAAGAAAAGGAGACGTCCCGAAAAAGCACATCCCAATTATATTTTCATAGAATTTGGAATAATTTTCTGTTAGCCAGCATAACAGGTAATGGATTGCTGTCCTAGTTTTTGCAAACTGAAATTAGATGGTCATTTCAAGAATTTGGAATAATTTTGCTTGGAGTTGGCGTGGGAGGTATTAAAATCAGAAGAGTGTTACCTACAGTATGCAGTCTATTCATGCAATTATACAAACAGATGACTTGAATGTCCATGCAACACTGTTGATCCGGAGAAAACTGTGCAAGACAATGCGTGGATTTGATTTTAATCTTGCCATGGAGAGCGTTCATGCGTGGGGCAATGGTTAAGTTATATTAAAGAGACAAGCTCATTGATTTTACTAAAGAGATGGGGCTAACGTATAATTTACTCTAGAAACAATTGAATTTGAGAACAATTCTGAGATATTGCAACCTGGAAAATAGAAGTGACGAGATGTTTACTAAGAATAATTCCTTCGATTGCTTGGAGGTAAATGCTATATGCTCATGATTGATCATTCCAGTGGATGCTACTGAGCTAGGAAGATAAAATACTCATGATCTTATGGAGCTGAAATTGCTTGAAAGCCTCTTAAGCTGTGACCAAAATAGGCTTCCTGGAGAGAGCCGTGGCTTTTCTTCATCTATGCTGCCGCTGCTATATCTGCTAATACTACCTGCCAAGGGAGTTTTGGAGGTTTTTGGTGTCCAGCCTGGTGATTTGTTAACTACCACAACAGATCCTCCCATCTCTTTTTTTACCTCATCTATTGCTTGTGGATCTGCTTCGCATCCTGAAGCATCAGTAACATAGAAGGAACCAACTGCCCTATCACCATTTGTTCCAATCTCAGCCCTTGATATTGATAGCCCGTTCTCTCGGAACGCCCGTGTCACATTCGAGAGGAGTCCCATTCGGTTGTGAGTGCAAATGTCCAGCCTCACTCCCTGCAGAACATAATTCAGTCACAAGTTAGTAATGATTGCTTATGCTCGAGAAACTGTACCGATTAGTGGTATTTTGATTATGCGGGTTAACGGAGTACAGTTGCTTAAAAATTTGGCTTGGGTCCGGTCTTACGTTGACCTTTCCGGCCGAGTTCAATAAACGTAAGCTAGCTTTTACCGTACATACATGGGATACTCTGCGCTCAATGGCAGCAATCAAGCATTGGGTTAGTTTATGCCTTTCGCTCTCTGTGTCCAAAGTACACCCATCCTGCTGCCGAATGAAGTACTCCTGCAACATCCAAATTCCGAGCAAGCATCAAATAGCCAATTGTCATGCGATTTCAGTAAACAAGAAGTTACGATCTGAAAGAAATGCATGTTGATGTCGTACCTGATCGGCCATGGTTCCCTTAGCGCTAATCGCAGCATGGAACACAACATACTGCATATCAGTTAGAGCGCAGAGTGTATCAAACAAGAGTTTGGGCCTGTCTCTACTCCTGACATTCACCACAGAGTACCCCTTCTCCTTACAAGAATCAATAGATACATGAATTTTAGTACAGTTATTTCTATGTGCTAAACCCCCTCCATTGCATCCCTGACATGGTTCGTAGTCCATGTTGGCGTACATCAACTGGTGGAGCCTCCGCCCCGTGTGGGTCTTTTTTCCTGGTGCTGGAGCCGTCAGTCGCACGCTCCTCCTCTCCCCCACCCCATGATGAGCCTCCACAACATTCTCCAACTGCTCTTGCACATGTGCTAGTCTCTTTGGATCTGTGATGGGTCCTCCTTGGAACCCATCTTCCATGTAGATTATGGAAGCTGCTCTCTTATTGTGGGTCCATACCGCGGAAGCCGTGACATGGCACTCCAACTTGGAAAGCACCGCTGATATTTCGGAGAGCAGACCTGGTCGATCAGTCCCAATTATCTCCATGGCCGTGTGATCTGTTGACGCGTATGGTGGCCTAACTTCTCTGTGGAGAGAAGTTTGCGATAACTTCGATACCCCTCTTCTTCTATCTACACACAGTGCCTATTTTTGTTTATCGTTCATTTGTTATTACATAAAAGTAGAGCATCCATAACCATATCAAAAGCATGACAAAAGGCTTCAGGTATAAATATCTATACATGACCATTAAGTATACTTGTACGTGTATGGACGGATAGAGAGACCTGCTGAATGTAAAGTATGAGGCTATCGTCAGTGAGTTTGCTCCCAAGCTGGTCAGTCACGTGGAACACTGCAATACCATTCCATGCAATCAAAATAAAAACAAACCCGCATGAAAAAGGCAAAGGCAAGAACAAGACATTACTACAAACACAGAGGAGTGATGCAAGCATGGTCTTTTATTTTGCTGGGTGGGCACTGACCTTCCATGAACCATCCCCCATCAGAGGAAATATATGATTTGGATATAACAAGGTCAAGATCTGTCAAGACTTGGACCATCTCTAATAGAATCCCCTGCTTGTTTGCACTGTCAACCTGCAACACAATGACAGCGAAATACATAGCAAGGCATATAAATGTATATGTTTCTCAATTTTAATGAAACCTTGGGGCTAACAATTTATGAAAAGATCAATAGTGCAATTTGGGATGACAGGTAGAAAACTGCTTCTCTGACATTAAAGCTTAATGACAGCAGAAGAAGCTTTTCTTTTTCTTTTTGAAAATAACAATTTGAGTTCCAGTGGCTATACACTCGGTGGGTCAATCACAGAGAATCCAAAAGGGATCTCCATCTCTTACTTAGGGCAAGTGAGATTGATGGGATCTTCTACACCTACAACTAGGGTCCCATTATAAGTTATCCACGAACTAGAAACTGCTAAGTGTTAATATCAAGACAACAAGTTGTGTAAACTATGGTTATAAGATCCAATGGGTGAGTTGACTTACGAGTTTGATGAATCAATCTAAAATAATATATTTTTGAATGTATAGAAAAAAAAAATGACTAGTCCGAAGTAAAACTCGCAGGGTCAAGCTCTGGATCGGTAGGTAGATCACTCAATTAACATGTCAAGCCGAACAGATTTTTATAAATATTATGTAAACCAACAAGAAAAATATATCAGTTAAATACTTACAGGTCTAAAATCAATTGGGATTGCAAATAAAGTGTAAATAATGATAATGGGAGTAATCACCTTAATAAGAGTGCAATCTTGGTATGTTTCATTGTCTACGCAAACTCTGCACCACCAAAACCAGCAAAATCAAACAAACAATATACAAGAGCATATACATTCAAGAAATCAAAAATATTTTGACTTATACCTTGGAGGATAAATTCTTTCCATGAGGGATTCAAACTCTGCATCGATATAAGGCTTATAAGCTGTTATCTCCATGTGTATATCTTCTTAATCAGCAGCAGTGCTTCAAGGTTTGCTTGGCCTTGGAAATCACCAGAACTATTGTGTACATATCATCCTTTACAATCTATATATACACGTATATTCATAACACGTGCAAAAGAAATTCAGGAACGCGTTAATACAATACAATAATATATAAATTAATTGCTTGGGGAAGAAGAGGTGGAGATAAAAATGCGGCTGTTAGGCCATCTTGTTTCTTAAGATTTTATAGAAACATGAAGATTACAAATTTACAACACATTAACAGCAATATCACCTCATCAAATATTTTCTTTGATATATAAAACGAAAAAAATATGTGTTTGAATCCGTCTTTGATTCAATCATAAATGATGGTTCATTGACCTACACACACACACACAAATCAAATTTGAGCAGAAATTAACGCATCCTGAAATTTTCTTGGGTGAAATTGTTGAGAGAAAGATTGATCTTTAATCAAGGATATATAAATTTCTTGAATATATATAGAAAGAGGGGGAGGAAGAGGAGGAATAACTACAAAAAATATATATATATTAATTACCTTGTGAAACAGCAAATCATATATGCAAAACACACCTCAATTCAGGAGACGAAAAGCTTTGTGTTGTCTTGTGTGTGAGAGATATGGAAGATGAACCAAGAGGTGGACTGTGGATGGGCTAATTTTAGAGCGTTTTCTTGGTGCCTTGAGAGTTATATATGGCAATAGCAGGCAACAGGCCAAGCTAATCCCTAAGGCCATGGCCAAGGCCAAACTTGGAATGCAAATCCCACTTTTTTATTTTCTTCCTTTTTTACATTTTCCTAGTTTTCCTTTTCCGGGATTAATCAGAACGTGTTTGCATAGGATTAAAAGGTACCTGGGACGAGCACTGAGACTTTCATTGGGTTTTTGCCACGTATACAGTCCATGACATGTGCCAGTTGGTTTTCAACTTAAGGGTGAGAGGAATTTAGAACTTCTCTGGAATCCATGCCATCCATGAATACCACTCACTACAGGCGGTCATCAGTCAAGAAGGAAGCACGGAAGAGGACGAAGAGTGGGTGATTTTATAAAAAAATATCACGAACAAGACCATATTGTTTAATTTAAGTCAAACAAACAAAGAAAAATAAAAATATATCAGAACACAGGAAAGTGACAAATCCTTGTTCGTTCGTCAAATCGATGGACTCATGTTTTCATTATGATTATTGACTCGTTTCATCATTAATGTTTTAGTTCCATAGTATATTAATTGTACATTTTTTTATCCGATTTGGGTCAAACAAATCATTTTTTTAATTTGTTCCATGATTAAAAACAAATACATGTGTTGAGATATTTTAGGAGGAAGGATTAAGCATTCCTTCCTAGCTAATGCTATTACATTAAATTGCAGGAAAAGTGGAGGCAATGTCATCCAAAATCAGCGAATGTTGAGGGAGCTTGGTCCACATTTTTCCTAGTAGTATAAAAGATTTTTTTTTATTTTTTTTTATTTTTTTTATTTACGTGGGGTGTCCGGGTCAGCTTGCGCGCACCACAACTAATCCCCACGGCCCACTGAATACCTTGCAAAACCAGCAGGCAGGTAAGACAGCGCGGGACTGACAGACGTGCAATTCCAGGGCTCGAACCCATGACAGCGGAAGGAGCAAGATTTCTGCCACCGTTAGGGCAAGTCCTTGGGTGCTATAAAAGATTTTAATCCTAGGGGCTGGAGTTGGACCATTTAGTGGGTGTAGGCTGCCGATCTAACTAATTTGGAACCTGAATCAAACAAAACCATTGGATTGAAGTTGCAAATTCATATCTTTTAACATAAAAAAAAATGATGTGAAGTAGCGTATTGTTTCGTGTCCGATGCAATATGATATGATGCGCCCTTAGAATATATTATAGTTATTAAATTTAGTGGGGGTTAATAAAATAATTTGAAACCTACTCCGAGTCAATTTTTGCTTGAGCTGTTTTAAACATTCATTTAATCAAATTTAAATTATCATATATAAGTTGACTTATAAACTAATTGATTTTATAGGATGTTATTGATTCCATCAGGTCAACTTTAAGGGATTAAAATATAATTAAAATGAAACTATTTTTAGATATTTTGGCATTAGCTTTGAAGTCTAAATTCATTGTTTCCTTTTAGTTTTTCCAAGTGCAATAACAAATATTAATAATGTGTCCTCTTATGTATCTAGAATTATGCATTGAGTAATATAAATATGTGTGTTGAGAGTATTGTAATCCAAGTTCAAGTTCGTAAGACTTGCTTTTATACGAAAGTAATACGAGAGAGACTTGTTTTTCATCATGCTTCCTTCACATTTACTCTGCTTTCAAGTATTCACAATAAAGTGGAATTAAAGCTAGTTTAATCTCGTGGGGCATTTTAGAAATTAGTTAGAGCATGTATGTTGAAGGAATAAATTATAAAAGCAAATGGACAGTGGATGTGCAAGATGATAGAGCCCAATAAAAAAAATTAATACCTTACATCAAGAGAGATAGAATAAGTTTAAGAGACTGCACAAGAGAAAGTGTTATACAAAGAAGATCATACATGGAAAAAAAATAAAAAAGAGAAAGAAAAGAGTGTTCTTCCTAAAAATAAGATGGCAAATTGACCGATGAACCATGATAAGAAAAAAGCAACAATATGATAAAGAGTAAATCAAAATAAAATGATCATTGAAAAGTCATATCTTGAAAGAAATATGTATGACTAGAAAAATATGACAAAAGCTATAACCAATGACTAAGAATAATCATGCTAAGATAAATATAATTACTAAAGAAAAGGATATTGAAAAGATGATAATGAGATGATATTAACTAGCTATAAAAAAAAAAAGTAGCTAAGACAAATATATATATATATATATATATATATAAAATTCTTTTCAAGATGAAGATAAAATAGTAGAGATAAAGATTCAAGAAAGATATTCTCAAAATAAAAACATTAAAGTTTTTATTATCAACAAGAGATAAGAAGGTAACACCAACCATGATCTTCTAATACATTTCAAATTTCAAGAGTTATAAGATTTTTTAAATTAAAATAAAGTGTTGGCATTAAGTTCGAAGTCTACATTAAAAGTGTCATTTTAATTATTCTAGTTAAATGCATATATAATATTAATGATGCGATCATTTAATTTTTAAAATTCTTTATATATATATATATATATATATATATATATATATATATATTGAAAGAGTTGTAATCTACATCCATAAAACTTATTCCCTTATGAATGAGATATGTTTATGTTATATTTCCTTTCTCTTTTTAATTATTTTCAACAAGATAAAATTATCAACTCAAGTTAACTTGAATATTTTTAACTTAATCTATCAAATTGCGACCTGTATCATGGACTCTATTGAATTTGATAACTTTTCTTCTTAACTGTATTTACTTAATTATATGATAATAAAAGTATAGGCTTGCAAAATCATGCACAAACTAGATGTTGGGGTGTTTATTGCAGATTGTGATAACCTTAAAAAAAAATTAAAACTAATTATAAAAACTAATTTGAAATTAACCAAATATCAAAGGATAGAATAGAAAAAAAATAAAATGACTTTGATATAAACCCATGGTTAAAGGATGAAACTAGCCAAAACGAAAATCAAAGGACAAAAATAAAAGAAAAAAGAAGGGGAATGAAAAACAAAAAAGAAGGCTTTACCCAACTATATTAGTATGAACTAGCTAGATGGCTTATACTACACTATAGGTAAGTTTTTTCACAATGTAAAAAAATATTCACGTGACATTAATATTTTCAAATAAGCAAAAAATATCTAAGATTAAAGTAATTGAAAATGATCGTTCGTGTTGTCAGAAAACCAACATAAAAAGTAAAGTATAAAAATATCATAAAACGAATATCTCATGTTTATATTCAACTAATTGATTTAACTTAATTCAAAAACAAATATTCTTATAAAAGCTAAATTCAACAAGATAGAAAAAAAGAAGTCCAAGGTAACCATTTTTTTTAGAATGAATGGAAATTCTCATTAAAACCAAAAAAAGAAGTAAGAAACATTTGAGAATTAGACTAAAAAATAATAAGCCCAAAAAAAGGAAAAAATCAAACAAATCCAAGTAAATATTCTTAACTCAGGTTAATTTTTCAAACTTATAATCCGTTAAATTTTATATTTGGACTCAATCAATAAGCTCAATATCCAATAGCAATCAATTTAATATTAAAAGATTAAATAAATTAATATAATTTAAAAAATTCCTTTTAAAAAAGTAAGATCTAACAAAGATGGGGAAAATACCCAGTGTAATACCCAACTAATTTAGAGTGTGTTTGGTATTGTGGTAGCTGTTGTGGTTGTGATTTGAAAAAAATTGTTTCATAAAAAGTACTTTTAGTTGAGGTTGATTTAAAAAAATAGGTGTTTGGTTAAAACTGTGGTTGAAATTGAGGTTGAAGAAAAAGTAGTTTAATGTGTTTGGTTAAAAATGCTTTTGAAATTAAGGTTATAAAATAATTTTAAAAAATATATATTAATATTGATAGTTTTAAATTTAAATATTGTAGAATTAATTACTCGTATTACATCATGAAATAAATAATACTTTATATAAAATATTTTTTTTATTATTTTATTAAAATATTTATAATTTCATTACGTTTAAAATTTATCCGATAAGAACTACAATTTTCATAATATTTTGAGCGTGTAATAAAATTAGATAAAATATTATCAGGTATAAAATTGATATTATAGTGTGAGTGAATTTAATTCACTATACACTAGTTTTTCAAGAAAAACAATATTGTTCACATCACAGTGAAAATAAATTTAATTTATTCTAAACTAGTTTTTTTTAAAAAAAAATATTAATAAAATTAATACTAAAAAAAAGTGTGTAAACAATGCAAGTGAATTGCACTGTTCACTGAACAGTGCAATTCACTCTTCTATACAAGTTTTTTTTTTAAAAAATTGTTAACACTTAAAAAAAATGTGTAAATAGTGCAATTCACTCTTGAATAGTGCAAGAGAATTGTTGTTCGTTATTTTTCAAGTGAACAGTGCAAATCTTTTGCACTGTTCACTGAACAATGTATTCTACATTGTCCATACTAATTAAAATTAGTGTGAATAGTGTGTACAAAGCAGCAAAATGTTGCTTCTTCTTTTCCTGTGTCTCGGACGCAAAAAAACATGGGATCCATGCACAGTAAAATGTGTTTTTTTACCAAACGGGCTGTATTTGCGTTTTAAACAAAACGCAAACACAATCTCATTACCAAACATGTTTTTAATATTGAAAAATAAAATAAATTATTTTTATTTAATTAAAAAATTTCTTTAAAAAATTAAAAAGATAGAAAAAACAATGAAAACCTTAACAAAGCTCTTAAACCTGTATTAATATTTCAAACTCACAACTCATTAAATACTAAATCCAAACTCAATCAAGAAACTTAACACTTAACAAATTTAATGTAAAAAATGAAATGACAAAATAAAAAAGAAAATCAAAGTAAAACCAGGTAAAAAAATAACAATAAAAAAATAAAGATTAAATTCAATAGGATAAAAAAACTCAAAAAAAATAATTAAAAAAAAATAATTTTAAAAACTATTTTTAAAAAATAAATAATAATTAAAATAATAAAAACCAAATCTAAATAAAAAAAAATCCATGGGTTGCATTGATTTTTAACATAGTTAACTAGAATGAGAGAGAAAAGGAATAAAAAATAAAGAAATGGTTGTTGACTGCGAACTAGAGGTTATGAAGTAACACACACTGAGAAGATTTTATTACCGCCTTGAAAGCCACCGTTTGACCAAGTAAATCCT